CCTCCGGTACCCCCATGTATCGTTCCACTATAACTCCCGACCCCCCCCCCCCCACGTGGCATAGCAGTAAGTCTGTAGACCTATAACGCTATTTCAGGTTTCAAGACTCAAGATGGTCACAGCACAGTGTAGCTTTGTGCTTAACTATAAACTAACAAATCCAGTACGTATAGATACAGTGTAAAAATTAATATGGCACATATGATGATGAATTGTAAAGTTGCATTACATTCTGAGAATTACAGATTATAATTTAACTATTAATTATAAATACAAATACTTATGAACATATCAATAATTCATTTATGTAAGGAATAATTTATAACAAAGATTAATATAATTTAGTATGCAAAAATAATGATACTAGTTTTTACTTTATAATAACATGTGATAGTTTTTGTTAGTTTGGTATTGAAAAATGTTCTTAAAGTTTCAAACCAATTACATTAATAGTAAATGCTCATAAATAGTACTTTTGGACTTCATGTAGGAGTATAAAAACATGAGCAAAGAACAAGGCTATGATGTCGATAAGGACAAGGGCACATTAACTATACTGAAAGTTGAAAAAGAAGATAAAGGAAAATATACATGTGTGGCAAAAAATCCTGCTGGTGAAAATAGAAAGACAACAACATTAATGGTGATTTGTAAGTAAATTTTCAGTACAAATTTAGTATTTCTTTAAAAGTTGTGACAAACTGATCCAAAAAGATGGTTTAAAACAAAACATATAAAAGTAAAAACCATAGTTTTTAGCAGCAATTTTTGCTTTCTTCAATGACATCTGAGGAAAACAACAGTTACCACTGAGCACCTGACTTTTGAATTTTTGACATAATTGTTAAACTAGTGGGCCACATTATTTTTAATTCAATATATTACCTGTCTCTCAAGATCTTATTGTACACATTTGATGGTACTTTTAACAATTTTGAATACACTTTTTTATTTTTAATAATAACTGCTTCAATTGCTGTGTAGTTTTTTTAAAATTACTATACTTGATATAATATATCAAATTATATGTATTTTATCGAACAAAACAAGCCCAAACAAAAACAAAATTAAAAATGCTGCATAACTTAAAAGGATACACAGGGTATAGGCTATAGTGTGGGATACAAAACGTGTACTGAGTTTTGGAGGTGACTGCAGAAGTAGGACCCACTTTGTTGTGAGGACACACCATCTATCAATCATAACCTTCATTTGCCAGTCTAATATGAAGAAATTCATAAAAAATCAAATAAAATCATCAAAAGAAATACAAGTTAGGAGAGCAAGATATTCGTGCTCAAGCCCACAGAATACAACATCTATATCACCCTTCACTGCCTGAAGACTGTTGTGAGAAGGTGACTCCACTCCAAAGTAAAGAAAAATGAAATACAGCCCTACCACTTGGGGGTAAGTAAGATAAATGTCTGAGGTTGGCATTCCAGCCCTCATTATAGTAGTAAATCCCTAATGTAACTTAATTAATAGTACAATGGATACATTATACTAGTATAGAGTTATAAAAGCCCAACCAAGCTATCTAACTAACCACCCATTAAGTCCACTGTAGTGGAGGTTAAGACTAATAGACAGTGTATCCCAACCACAATGTGGGTCCTACTTCTCAGCTACCTCCAAAACCCAGGACACATTTTATATCCCACACTATAGCTTGTACCCCAGAGATACTTTCAATTTTATTTTTTGTTTGGGCTTGTTTTGTTAATTAAAATGTCATTTATCACAGGTTTGGATTTGCTGTTTTTAATGTAGTCCTTCCTTTTGGTTTCTCATGTAGCTTTGCACGAAATTCAAACCAAAGATTTTAGTTTTGTTTTGCTTGACTGTTTAAATATTAATTGTCTATACATAAAATTAATCTGTGTGTATATATATATATATATATATATAAGTATTATGTATTGATATGTATAAATATACTTACATACATGTACTTCTATTAACACCTCCCATATCAGCAAATTGAGTAAGTTTATGTTAGTCAGAAAAAAAGTGATCCATTGTTTATTTTTCTTTTTTTTGAGCAATATCATTAGCCAGAAAAAGACAATTACTTAGCCTGTTTTTGGTTTTAGTGAACCACTGGCTGCTCCAAATCAATGGATTGAAATTGCTGATGACTGTTTCGAAGACTGTAAGAAATTGTAATTGATATTCAAAATGGTACTATTATCTTACAAATGTAAAAGGACTAGATATTCAAAAGGCAAAACGGCCAAAAAGCAAGTACTAATAATGCAGTGAATTGCTTGAAGAAAACAACCATGGCCAAATTACAATGAGAATATTAATGATGAAGATGTAAATTATGAAAATGACGATATGTATTTTATTGAAAATGATATATTGGTCTTAATTGAAGGAAGTGATGATAGCGATGATAATAACAAAAAAATCATATGAAAGTGAATCCTTTAATTCTATTGATAAAGCAACTAGCATTTTATTACTAAAGAAAATATGCTGTATTATTTTAACCAGTGATGCAGACCAATTATTGCTTAACATACAAAAACAAACTGTACAAGATAGCAGAGAAACCAAAGAAATCATATCTAGTAACATGTTAAAGAAAAATATATAGCAAGTACAATCAAAATTTCTACTGCATTCCATCTAGGGAAGGGTGTTGTTAGCTCAATTTTTGTGCTTCACTTACAAAATGACAAAGTTTTCCATTGGTGTGAAGTTGACATCAAAATCCAACAGACAACCTGATGTTTTAGCTTGATACAGTGTATTTTAAATGCATTCTGAATGAGGCTGTTTCCAAAACATACTTACCTCGATTGCTAGGGTTTCTTCCTTTGCCCATCTAAGCGTTGGTCTGATTTTTTCTTGCTTGCTCCAGTCTTTTATGCCCCACTCAATTGCCTTTGGTGATATTTAACTCATGATCCTTTCCACCTACGTCAATGCACCCTCTATCTTGGTACTGTATATAAGCATCTCATTCAGATAATATTATCACTTTTTCACGACAAAGCGTTCAGGAAAAGGTTTCTCTGTATTGTGACTGTTAGAGACACTTGGTGCGATATTTGCATCACCTAGTTTCTTTCCATGCAATTAAATAATTATAAGTATTTCAATTATGACACGGCAATTCTGGCACAGAGGCTAATCAGCCCTTCCCTATCCCACTTCTGCTGTCGAGCATCGCTCAACAGTCGGGGGTGGGGGTGGAAACCATTCTCAGTTGAGGCTGTCTGTGATCTGATTCGTAGTAAGATGGAGAGATGGAGACATATATTAGATCCAGGGGTTTCTGAGGCAGCTTTTGCTGATGATTCTGGACATTCTTTAGAAAATTTAGACTTGCTTTTTCCGGCACCTTCCTTTACTAGGTTGGCTTCTCATGAGGCAAATTTGAAGCAACCACCACCAGCTCATTTTCTTCAGTTAGTTAATCAGGTGTGTGATGTTCTGTGTTTTTCCACAGTTGCCATTGAGTCTACTCTTTCCTTGTTGGGGGAAAGGTCAGAGGGCAAATACTTAGTTCTTCCTCCATCATCAGATATTGCTGTTCATTTGGGGAAGTTTACCACTCAGTTACGTGAAGGGATAGCTATGCCTTGTCCACCAAGTTTGTTGAAACAACATGCTTTGGCTTACTACCACCAGGGGGTGCATATTTAGATTCCTAACAACTAGGTCTGCTTTTGAAAATGTGAAGTTCTTGAATGGAACCTGTTATCAACTTGAACAGATCACAATTTTTCTCAGATTTGGCTGACCTTCACTACATTTCTGAGGTATTTATCATCCATCTAACTATTGTTGGAAGCCTCTCAACAATCACCACATCCATTTGAAGATGAGTTGGGTTCTTTCTTGACATCTTTCTTAGTATGGTTTTCTGCTTCTGCTATTTCTTAGCTGGTATGTTGTTGGAATTTATTGGGTAGAGATGCCTTGTTGGAGGACATTTGTCTACCATCTTCAGCCCTCTGTGAGTTACATGATGTTTGTGGGCATGCCTGAGGCATTTTAATCCTGGATTGATGTTGCCTGTTTCCATTCCTCTTTCTTATCATTAGCCTCTCGACTATCTATGGCTCCTACAAGGAGTCACAGCTCTACCACTGTCTGAGTGTCCCAACACCCGACATCAGTCTCTCATTCCATTGGTGCCCAGAATATATTCTGCCCTTATTATGAGGCTCCTCTTCTTGGTAGGACCATTACCTGTGGCGGCAGTGACTACCCTATAGTGGGGATGGGCTTGGTTACAACATTTTCTGAACAACAGATCCTTAGGTATTACTGGTTCTTGCATCGAAGTTGGTCCTTCAGTTCACATCTCCACCACCATTATCCCCCCCCCCCCAATCTGTAGTGTTTTCACTTCCAATAGATCATTGGATTGTGGACCTTTCTTCCAGGGCTATCACAGAGTTGTTGGTTAAGGGGGCAGTAGAGAGAGTCGACCCTCTTCATCCAGGATTTAATTTTCGTCTATTTGTTGTGCTCAAGAAGATGGTAGATTAGTATCCAATCATTGATCTTTTTCATCTCAACTAATTCACATATCCTCCCAAGTTCATGATGGAGTCATTCCTCTCCCTATGTTTACATTTTTCACCAGGACTGTGGATGACAAAGTTCGACGTGGTCAATGCCTATCTACAGATTCCAATAGCAGTCATCCAGCTGCTTCTCTGCCTTTGTGCACAAGGATCAGGTACTGCAGTTCTGGGCTCTACCCTTTGGGCTAGCATCTGCTCCTTATGTGTTCAGCAGAATAGTACGAGCTATTCATAATCACCTTCATTCTTTAGGCCTGTACACACCTCATTATATAGATGACTGGTTACTCCTGGCACTGTCTCATCAGGTGGCAGAAAGTCACACCCAGATTCTCCTTGCAGAAGCCATCAAGGCAGGCTTTATTATCAGAGTCAAAAAAACCTGTTCTCATTCCAACACAATACATCATTCATCAAGGTTTCTGTTTCAACACATTTCTGAGTAGAGCTCAACTGACTCCCATCCAGCTACATCTTTTCCCACTGCTTGAAGGGTTCTTTCTCTTTTGGGGATGTGGGCTTCACTCAAATATCTCATTCCTTTGGGATGAGCACACATGAGATCCCTATGTAAGCAATGGATCATGAACAGTGATCCACTGAATCACCCCATCTCCTTATTTAGGATCAGCATCTTAGATCTCGAGTGGTGGTTAGATCAGAACAATACTATGCTAGGTGTTCCTCTACCACCAACTTGTCCCGAGATCCATCTCTTCACAGATGCCTCGCTTCAGGGATGGGGTGAATATATCAATGATCAGGAATTCCAGGGCACATGAATGGATGATGAAACTTCCCTTCACATCAATATTTTAGAGCTTCTTGCTGTCCAAAGTGCAATGTCTCAAGGTCTAGAGTTGTTGAAGGGCAAAACTACTATGCTTCATTCTGACAATTCCACAGTTGTTGTCTTACATTTCTGGTCAAGGGGGCACTTGACCATGGGATCTTTGTTTTCAAACATTGGATCTTCCTTATTGGGCTCACTCCCATCATATCAGCCTACTAGCATGTCATGTTCCAGGAGTAATGAATTTAATAGCAGATCAATTGTCTTGACTCAACCAGGTTCTTTCAACTGAATGGATACTACACTGCGAGGTTTTCTGGTGGATTTGCCCTCAGTTCAGAACACTAATGATTGATGCATTTATCACTCATTGTAACTCACAACTACAGATATTATGGTTTCCAGTACCTCATCCTTGGGCATTTGCAGTGGATGAATTCAGTTAGGAATGGACGAGATTGCTCCTGTATGCCTGATTTGTCTGTTACCCGTAGTTTTGGCTATGGTTCGATCCACCCTTGTCATGTGCTTCTGATAGCACTAGATTGGCTGGCTCAATCAAGGTTTCTACTTCTTTGGTATCTTCAAGAATGTCCACTTTCTCTTTGGCCATCTCTGGTGAGACAACCATGATCCGACATTATACATTCCGAAGCTCAAGCTTCGTGCATGGAAATTATGCAGTCCTTCACAAAACATTTGGGTTTAACTTCTCATGTTGCAATGTATTTGTCTCAGTTTCTCCGTGGATCTGCAATACACATTTATCAAAGAAAATGGCACACTTATCGACAATGGTGTCTTACAAGGAAATTGAACCCAATTTGGCCAGATATGCCAACCATTGCTCAATTTTTGATTTGGCTTTTTAACAAGGGTTTAACATAATCTACAATCGCCTTACATGAGGCAGCTTTATTGACTATATTTTGCTCCTGAAAATGTCAGAAATTATTTGAATCCCCAGTGCTATCAGGCATTCTCAAGTCATTTTGTGTCCTTTGTCCCAAAAGGCCTTTTTAGTTACCTAACTGGGACATTAAGGTGGTATCACATGTTTGGTTTCGACACCCATTTGAGCCTTTAGCCCTTTCTACCATCTATCACCTTTCTCTTAAAGTTTATTTGTTGTTGTTGCTGACTTGTGGGATCCTTCAGTTTCCTGTGATTTATCTCAGGTTACCTTGAAAAGGTGGTTTCGAAAATTGATCCCTATTGCTTATTCTGGGCTCTCTTTCCAGGAGAGAGAAAACTTCTGTGAGTCACATTTCATCAGATTCATCATATATCTATGTTCTTAGCTGCCCAGTTGAATTGCCCACTGGAGGACATTGTGCAGGCTGGTATGTGAACCTCTCCCAATACTTTTATCTCACATTATTTACATGATCTGGCAGTTTCTTCCTCTGAAGGTTTTCAACTACCCCCTGTGGCTACCTTGACCACATCTGCTTGATAATAAGGTGAGGTATTTTTTTTCTCTTCTTGTCTCTCTTCTTTACAGGATCCTTTACATCTTTTTTTTCACTAGATCCCACTCTGTGGCAAGTGTTACCCAGGCATGTGGGCTATTTTTCAAACCACTTCTGCACTAGCAACCACTAATTCAATATACTTTATACAGGCTGCAACAGGCTCTGTAGGAATGAGGTGTTCTTTAAGACCACTTAGAGGTTGACCAGGTAGTGTTATTGTACTATGCTGGATTGCCACTCATGGACTATCATGAGTAAATCATAAGGGGATCCTGCCCGTCCCTGCCGATCATTAGATTGAATAAATCAGGGTTGGTTTGATTTAAAAAATTTAGAGAACTTGATTCACCTATTATACTGTTACCAGAGCACTGTTCCACTGTTCCCCAATGAACATGACCCCCCCTCCCCAGATTCTACTAGTTGAGCCAGGGAGTTCTTATCACACCTGGTTTCCAGTCACTGGGGTGGTGGACAGAGGCTTTTCCTCCACTTTTGGAGAAGAGGGTGAAGTTGGATGTTTTTCCATATGTCGGTAGGAGTGGCATCAGCCTATGCGGAGCCTACGTGTAGTACTTGTTCAGATTTGATGCTCAGCTATCTGGTTGGGTTGTGTGTAGCCCTTTTTTTTAATCAATCTTGCTTCCATACATTGGTCCTGGAAGAGGATCCACTGTCTCCTCATAATTCTGAGCACTGTTGTTCCATGTCTTCCCCCTAATTCCGGGGGCAAGTGGAATGTACCTTGCCCACATGTTTTGGGAGTGAGGATAAGTGTTCATAATTCCAGACTAGATGAGTTCTGTTTCCTCAGGTGGAGTAAGACATATACGAACCTGTCATTTCGAGCCTGGGGTGTTGCCTTTCAAACTTATACAGGTTGAAAAGAAGTTTTGTCCACTTCCATGTTGCTTACTTTCTCATCGTGATTCAGGTGGCTGGGAATATATCACTCTGTGGGATCGATTCATAAGTATATATATATATATTATTTGCAGTCCAATTGCCCTTGCCACCAACATTGGATATAGGGCCCATGGCCCTTTAATTCCAATCCCAATTAGTGGAACCTCAGCTATCTGGTTGGGGTCTGGCCTATAGTGATAATGAGTCAGGTAAAATTCCACCCACATTACAGGAATTATGTTCTGGGTGAAGAGCATACCAGTTCTGAATGTAGTGTGGTTTCCCCACTAGGATGTCAGTCTTCTATTGACACACCCATGATCTATGTAGACACTTTCTGTATGGATAATGCACTCACCAGCCTCTCCATCTTAGCAGTATGTGATTCTAGCTATAAGTTGGAGCGAAGGTAAGTATGTTTTGGAAGTTAGCATTTACTTAAATCGAAAATGTATTTCCAATAATACTTACCTCCTTTCACACTCTCCTGCCCTTCCTCCCCACTAAGAGCTGGTGTTAGAGACTGGATTAAATAAATCTCAAAAAAGTGATAATATTATTCTCAATGAGGTGCTTATATACAGCACCAAGATAGAGGGCACATTGACATAGGTGGAGAGGATCATGAGTTAAATATCATCAAGGGCAATTGAGTGGGGTATAAAAGACTGGAGGAAACAAGATAAAATCAGACCAATGCTTAGATGGGCAAAGGAAGAAACCCTGGCAGTCGAGCAATAGCTATAAGTGTGAGAGGAGGTAAATATTATTATGAATACATTTTTGATTTTATAAAATGTTAACTTACAATTGCAGTGCCAATTATCTAACATTCCTAACATATAGATAATATTCATTGATACATCAGTCTTTATGTAGCCATAGCTTCCTTTATTCTTATTATTTTGAAAAAGTTATAAAATCCTTATCATTAATAATTTCATTTAGTATTATTATTTTCACAGTCAAATTCCAAAACCAAATTTTGGTGATTCTACCCCTGGTACAAAATGTTACCCAATTTGGCCATATAACAAATGTTAAAAATATATGTTTGAAAATGTTACACTCTTTTATCTGCTTCTAGAAATTTACAAAAGTAAATGTTGGAACACTTTCTCATCACAAAGGAAGAATTTTTTAAATTTCTAGATGGTAATTGTAAATGTTTTGAATATTTCATAAATTTTGAATTTTTTTTATTTATAACTGTTCAGCAAGTTTAATGTAAAGAAGGAAAATTTTTCATCTCCTGAAGTTTTTGTTTTTTAATAATTATTTTGTACATTTCTATACTGTTTAAGCATTAATGTCCCACTTTAATATATGACCCCCTCAAAAAATACATTAAAATGACTCATTTTATTGAATAAAAACAAACAAAAAACAAATATACAAGTAATTTATAATAACATGACCAAAAATCATTAATGTGGAGTCCCTTTACTTGTTTTGTCATTATGTGATAAACAAAGCTAGAGCAGCATATCATAGCTCATTCATCAGTTTCCTTGAAAACCTGTGTAAATGGAATGAGAATAAAATATGGTAGTTAAATCTAAAATAAGCATTATTTTCGGCCCTGCTTGTAAGAGCTAACTAGTATCAAACATAACATTTTTCTAGGCTTCCCATGATTTAAATGGATTATAAGAGTGATGGAATGAAAAAAAAGCTGTAAAAACTGAAAAATGAAATATTTGTTTTTAAGAAACAGATTATTGTTAAAGATCAAATTATCAAGTTTGGCTTAGCAAAGTAAAATTTAATTTGTTTCTATCTGTAAGCTTATGAACATAAGTCACATATCATTTGACTCGGAGTTTGAAGCAAATGGTCTATATGGTAAAAAGTTAAACAATTAGGATAGAACTTTAAGGCTAAAATTTTGAAAACAAGATTTAGCCTATAGCAAGTTTAAGCGAGTAATCTGGCCTGATGTTCAGACATTTGACTCAATGTATAGGTTGTGGGTTGGAAAATTATTGCTGAACATGCTCACCATTTTAGACTTGGAGGCATTATAATATGATGGTCAACCCCAATATTTGTTTTTAAAGAGTAGCCCAAGAGTTGATGCTGAGTGTTGTGAATTATCTGCCTTCACTCTGATCTTTAACTTCAAATTAAGAACAGCTAGCACAGATAGGCCTTGAGTAGGTTTTTCATGAGATTTAACAAAGTTAAGCAACCATGGAAAAGTTCCAGACTTCAGATTTTTATTTCATATTTTGAATTTTCTAACTTATTCATGTATTATATTACCAGAAAGCTTTTATAAAGGTCTATTTTTATTATTTGTTTCCAATTACACGAAAAGATAAAATTCAAATTCAACATCTCACATATATTGAAACATTGCTCTCTGCTATCTTTTCTATCATTTAGATCTCTCTATTGACAATGAAAAGGTTAAATATATTTTATAGGTCATATGATAACAGGATGTTAAGTTAAGTATGATGGTAATATGTTTCAAAATTCCCTGAATGTAAAAGAAAACAAACAAGAAAGTAGATGAAATATTACTTTTTCCTGTTAGAACATAGATTTGTTTTTATTCTTTCAGCAAAACCAAATATTGTTATGTTAGAAAATGTAACAATACAAGTATCCAAAACAGCAGTGCTTGAGTGTCATGTGACAGGGGATCCAGTGCCAGAAATAACCCTCAGAAAAGATGGAGCAGTTGTTCAAAATGTAAGACAGACTTCATTTATCAAAATGTAGAAATAATCAAATGTTTGTCCAACAATATTATGTTTGTAGAATGCTAGTCTTAGATGTGATTTTTTGCAAGCCAGCTTATTTCAATTTCTTGGTATAAATATAAACTTTATAAACAAAACATAGAGCTTTAGTGATGAAAATAATTTTCTGCAAAAAAAATCTGCTGTATATTAAAAAAATATGTACAACTCATGTAGATGTAACTCTGAAATACTAAAGGCCTTTTCTAGTTGAGTGCCTTCTTCCTGTTGTAATACTGGGCAGGAAAAAAATAGTAGTACCAGTTTGTACTACATGTTTTCCACTCCTTTACTTTAACAAGTTTTCAAAATTTTGTTGTTTTTGCACTGTTCCCTCAATTAGAACATATTATTACATAAGATGGCTTGAACTCTAACTTTCTCTGGGGACTAACTGAGTGAAGTGGAGAATGAACACCTATTGTCTAGTCCTTTTCCAGGAATAGTTTTGTGGATGACAAATCAGACAATAGTGCAAGTAGACTTTTCTATGTTAATCTAACAGGTACCAATCACTGTTTTCTCATTTCAAAAACTCTTGAGATTATTGTCTTACTTAAAGAAAATGTTGAGCTAGAGAAAGCAGATTTTTGGCAGGATTTCCATAGATTTTCTGCAGGTTTTAATGTAGCTTCTTCACCAGCATATTAGTTTACCATATAGTGAGAACTCCTAAAGCTCTTACACAAGAAAATGGTGGTTACATATTGTTTGTTCCATTTCATTCTATTTTGTTTTGTTTTATGAGTATACATAAAGTCCTTCTGCAAGTATTAGCCATGGTTTTGCTTAAGGTTGTTACTTTCACTTAATTTAGGGTGAGTGCCATTAGGTTTTCTTTGGTAAGTGAGTGTTATGTACATTCTATTGCTAGTAATAAATGACTTTATAATACAAAGTTTGTTATTTTTGTTCTTTATTAAAACACTTAATGCTTTGCTTTACATATTTTTCAGGAACATTCCGCTAAAACACAAACCATAACTTTTTTATAATCTAAAATACGCTACAGAAATTAAATAATGAATTTATTTACGTTCATCATACTCAGATGAGCTTTAGTTTTCTTGCTAGAATATTGGCTCTGATATTATTAGAATTGTAGTTTCTGTATTATTTAGAGAAGGTATTTTAATCGCCATTGGAACCCAATGTAGGGACTTGTATTTCATCACTGAAGCATATTATTATTTATTTATGTAGACTAAAGTAACAGCAACATAATGTAAACTAACATAACTTGGCTTTGTTTTTCTTTTGTTTAATAATTCGATTTTACAGTTTTACTTATGTGGGTGGGAGTGCTAGAACATGGGCCATCTGGTGCCTTTTGGTTCTAATCACGTCTTCGTTAGCTCCTGTTGATCCTACACTTTATATTCAACGTATATGCACACACCATCACATTCTCCTTTTCTGGCAATGTATTGCATTATATTGTGTTGTTTTTTTTGTTGTTTTTTGTATTGTCTGCATTAGAGTTCAACAAACAATTTCATTTATGCATGAAATCTGCAAGTTTCATTCTTTGTGGCCCAACTGTCACACCTGTTGAAAAACATACCCCCACATGATATCCGAGAATTTCCTGTTTTTTGTTTTTTTTGTGGGCCCAGACTTCTCTGTATTACCAGAAATCCTCATTTAGCATGCCCAGCACATGTGACAACCCTCCACCGATAGGAGCATGACACACACTCCCTGAACAGCTGGCTCTCTCTTTTTTACATTCTGTGTACCTCACTTTCTCGATTGGCATGGTTATTGGTTTGTTTCTACATTTACATATATATTTTTTCTTCATTTATTTTTCAGTCAGTTTGCTTACAATTTAGGATTTATTACATATTTTTCTCACTTTTTTTTGCAAATTATGAACTCACAGTTTACTGTATCTACTATGTTGGATCCTGCTTTGTTTGGAGACACATTTAACCCTATTACTCAAGATTAGGATTGGATCTATCAGCCATGGAGGTGCAGGCTTTGGTTCAGAAGAAGTTAGCTTACCATGTGCAGTGCTGACAAGAGGGGGAGAAAGGGGCAGCTGGCCCATGGTCTGTTGAAGGGCCCAGCAGTGGGATATTCCAAAGCTCACTACAAATGCATACTACTTAATGAGCTAAAATGGCTACTGCTTTTTTCATGGGTTCATGAAGAAATTTGTCACCTAAATATCTTTTATGAAAAATCAGCAAAAGTTAATAAATAGAATAAAGAGGGGGGGGGGGCAATGATATTATTGACTCCAGGGCATGTGCTGGTTCTCGACACCCCTGCCCACATGGGGCCTGGTTCATCATCATCTCCATGTGAGGTAGTGCAAGCTGATGACGAGGGGTGTGAGGAGGAGGATTTTGACCAAGTTTTCTTGCTCCTTGTTTTGTTATGCTTTTTTCAGGCAACAATGGAAAACTTTCAACCTTCAACACCATTCCTATAGTTGATTACTCAGTTTTGTGGTATTTTGCAACTTTCCTCTGTGTCTTATTATTCGTCCCCTTCCCTATTAAGTGAGCTCCCTGATTACTTCAGATTTTTCCCCCCTTCTCCAAATATAGAAGTTCATGTTCAAAGTTTTTTTCTCAAATTCTTTTGGGTTCTGGTATGCCTTGCCCTCCTTGTGTTTCTGACCAACATGCTTTGGTCTCTCATCATTCTCCCAGTCCTTATTTAGATTCTCAGCATTTGAGCTTCCTTTTACCTCTATGGAGTTCTAATCGTATGGCTTTTGTCTCTTTGTTTCAGGCCCAATTTTTCGAGAATTTGTCTGCTACTCATGTTTTACATTACCTCTCTTCTATGCACATATTATCAGAGGCTTTTTGCAGTTCTCCCAATGATTTTTCGGGGGAACTTGGTTCTCTTTTGTGGTCGACTTTACCTAATCTTTCCTCGTCTGCCCTTTCACTCCTTATATGGCTTATTTGTTGTTGGGGAGAGATGCACTACTCATGGGTGTTTGCTTCCTTCTGCCTTCCTTTTGGGACTTACAGGTGGCTACTTTTTTGCATGATACCATTTTTGGGGTCACCCCAATTTTTTGGAGTTATGGATTGATGTGACCAAGTTACATAATTCTCTCTCTTCCTTGACAAATTGTTTATCCCAACCTTCCACCTCCTTTTCTCCTGATCCTATAGTTGTTTCATGTCCTTCTGAGTCTGCACCTTATCCTATACCTGTGTCTAGTCGTTCTCGCCTTATCCTCAGGATCATCAGCAATGGAACTTATGACTACCCTGAGGAGCCAGGATTCACTTCTTCGTGGAGGTTTGAAGAACTTTTTTCTACAGATCAGTGGGTTCTCCAGGTTTTAGTCCAAGGTATTTCTCTTTACTTCAGGCCCCCTCCCTTTTTTTCCCTATTCCTTTCCCTTCTCTAAATGATCTAGTTTCTTGCATTTGAGGCTGTGTCAGAGCTTTTGCTCAAAGACGCTATTGAACCAGTAGTTCCAGTTTCTCCAGGTTTTTGTTCTCGACTATTTGTCATCCCAAGAAGAGATTGGAGACCAGTTATAGATATGTCCCATTTCAATCAGTTTCTGGAACCTCCTCATTTCACCATGGAATCTTTTCTGTCTCTTCATTGGGTTTTCACTCCAGGTTTGTAGATGACCAAATTCAACATAGCAAATACTTATCCTCATGTGCCCATATCTCCCTCCTCCCGTCGTTTTCTTCTGTTCGTTCACAGGGACATATTTTCCAGTTTTGGGTTCTTCCATTCAGGCTTGTTATGGCAACATGACAATTTTGTCGGATTGTCCAAACTTTTGCTTGCCATCTCCATTCTTTAGGTCTCAAGACTAATCATTATATGGATAGCTAGCTTCTTAGAGCTCCTTCACTCAGTATCTCATTTATTTGGGTATATTCTTCAATTCCCATCGTAGTTGGGCGCAATCATCTCCCCTTCATATTCAGGATATGGAGAGATTGGTAGTCAAGGCTATATCCTCTCCTTCTGTGCCTGCTCAAGAGGTTCTAGCTCTTATCTGAATGTGGGCTTCTATGAAAGCACTCATTCCTCTTGGATGCACTCACATGCATTATCTGTAGTGGAAACTGTGAGATCTATGAAATTTCTTCTTCTATCCATTATATTTTCAGTTTCCCTGTGGACAGATCTTACATGGTAGTTGAAAGAACCAATACTATGGTTGGTGTACCTCTTTCACCTTTTTGTCCAAAGCATCATCTGTTCATGGATGCTTCTGTTATGTGTAGGGGTGAATCTTTGTATGCGCACGAGATTTCCAGATTTTCCTTCATGTCAGTCTTTTGGAGCTCTTGGCAGTTCATTGGGCCTTGTCTCATTTCCTCCATCTTCTGTGGGGGAGTGTGATTATGATGCATTCCGACTACTCTTTGGTAGTCGCCAACACCAACAGACCGAGAGATATCAAGTCCAGGCTCCTGTGTTTTCAGACACTGGAACTGCTTTTTTGGGCTCAAGAGCACAATATTCATTTATTGGCTTCTCCAGAGAGGTCCTTAGATCCCACAGTTTTCCATTGGTTTTGTTCTGTTCTGGGTATTCCCCACATTGATGCATATGCAACTCATCTCAACACCAAACATCCATCATTTTGGTCTCCAGTTCCTCATCCACAAGTGTCAGATGTAGATGCCTTCAGCCAGAATTGGTCGTGCCTTCACATTTATATGTCTCATCACCAAGGTTCTCTTCTTCATCCAATCCACTCTGTGTCGGGTAGTCTTCGTAACTCCATATTGGCCAGCTCAATCTTGATTCCCTCTTCTAAAACCTCTGTAAATGTCATTTCTTCTGTCTCTCCCCCTGTTTCTGTCATTCCTTCATCAACCTGATTTGGATGTCTTTCATCTCACCATACCCATCCTCTGGCTTCACACTTGGCTTTTGTCAGGTCCCTTGCCAGATGCATGGGTCTGATACATTGTGTTAGTTCTCTTTTATCTTGTCACGTTTGTGCTCTTTCTGTGCCAGTTTACCAAT